TGGGCTTACCCTTGGAGTGCGCTGACCCAGAGCTCCTTCTCCGCCCGGGAGCTGCAGAAAGAGAGGAAAAGCAGCCTGAGTGCCCGCTGCTCCCCAGCCTGGGGTCAGAGGCGGGCGCTGGCACAGCCCTGCCCCCTGGGGACGGCCACAGAGGCAGGACGAAGCCCCGTGGGGCAGGACAGAGGCGCTGCCCAGTCCTGCTGTGGGATGTGGCACTGAGACTCACTGGAAGGTCACGACGCACGAGCCGGAGGGCCAGACGAGGACAAGGGAGTTGGTGCTCTTGTCTTCCTGCTCCTTGGGGCCATCACCGGCCTCCCCGATCTTGCTGCTCAGCACCTGCAGCTGGCCCAGGGCCAGGCAGTGCTGCGGGCGCGGGGCTCTGCCAAGTCTGCGGAGAGGAGTGGCAGGGAGTGACCTGGAGCTGGCCGAGCCCAGTGGCTCCTCTCTACCATCCACCTGCCACGGGCAGGGCCATGGGTGCCTCCAGCACCAGGGTGCCGGGGGCCTGGGGCTGCTCCTTGGCTGTCCCTGCCCTGGTGCTGGGGCCGGGGCTTGGGAGGAAAGGCAGCGGGGCTCTGCGAGTCTTACTTGGACTTGGCGATGACCAGGGTGTCCCTGAAGAGGAGGAGGTCACTCTTCCTCTTCGTGCGGCCCTGGGTCACCCGCACGCGCTGGCGGAGCAGCAGCTCGGGTGACCCCCGGCCAGGCTCGCAGTGCTGCTCGGGGTAAGGGTGGACCCTGCAGGGCAGACGGCATTGGGCATGAGCAAGGTGGCTGCTGCGGGGCCCGGCTGTGCCGGCGTGTCCCCAGATCGCGGGGAGAGCTCACCTGGAGCCACGGCAGCAGTTCAGCTGGCCCATCCCGCCGAGGACACGAGAGGCCTCGCTTTGCACACTCTGGTGGGGCTCAGGGCCGTGCTCTGACAGCCCGAGAGAGTCTTCTGAGGGGTCCTGATGCTCTGCAGTGCTGCTGGGCGAGACCCCACTACGACTCTGTGCTGGCACAGAACCGTCCCTGCAGGTACTGGGGCCCTTGCCAGGCCAGCACTGGGTCCACATAGCGGGACCTTATGACCTGGTGGTGCTGGGGGGTGTGTGTGGGGCACTGAGGGGCTTTCCCCAGGGTGCCCGTGTCTCTCTCGTCCAGGGAGGCCAGGCCTGGGCACAGCACTGCAGGCATGGCCTCAGCAGCGCTGAGCAGAGGGAAGGGTCACCTCCCTCCAGCTGACATCAAGGCTTTGCCCAGTGCTGCCCAGGGTGACACTCGCGCTCCCTTTGGGCAAGGGCACCTTGCTGGCCACCCTGAGGGAAAAGACCCACAATTTTTGTACTGGGTCTGGCTGAGCTGGAATTGGTTTCCTCTACAGCAGCCCTCACGGTGCTGTGTTTTATGTTGGGAGCTGGCAGGGTGTTGGCAGCACCCTGGTGTTGTGGCTACTGCTGAGCAGTGCTTACACAGCACCAAGGCTCTTTCCGACATTTTTTACCCCCAGTGGGACAGGATGGGCGAGATCTTGGGATGGGACACAACCAGGACAGCTGACCCGAACTGACCAAAGGGATATCCCAGACCATATGACGTCTGCTCAGGATAAATAAAGCTGGGAGGAAGGTGGTGGGGTCACCCTTGGTCCTCTGAGGCAACCACTCCGTGTATGGGAGCCCGGATCCTGCGAAGGCCCCACATCGCCTCCTCATGGGAAGGAGAGAATAAATCTGTTTTCTTTTTTTTCGCTTCTGTGTGCAGACCTTTGCTTTACTTTGCTTATATTAAAACTGCTTTTGTTTTACCCCCAAGGGTTGCTCTATTTCACTTTCTTTCCCCTCTTTGCCCTGTTGAGAAAACAAGGGGAAGGGGGGGGAAGTGATGGAGTGACTTGGTGGGTACCTGGCATTTAGCCAAGGTCAAACCACCACAACGGTAATGAAATAGACACTGTCAGCACAGATCTCCCAGGGTGATCTCACCCAAGCCCACCCGAGGGAAGGCTCCTTGGCCGTTCTCGGTCTACTTCAGCCTTCGCTGAGATACAGCCATCTCCCTCCCTGCCCTTCTGGACATTGTTTTCTTCTTTACTGTCCTTTTTGTCAGGGTTTTAGGGTTATCAAGGCCATCAGGCAATAAGGGCTTATATTTACTGGAGATCAGATTTGGCTCGGGTAGAAATGGAGTCCCCTGTGGCAGCCATTTTGAGATTGTCCCACTGATATGACCTGCCTCCAGGCAAATGCTTTGAAAGGGTTGTTCAGGTTCACCAGTCATGTTTCTAAATCTTGTTAGGGATCTGCATTAGGATGGCAAATTACTGCTAGTGGACCACATCCTGCCCATCATATCAAACGGCCTGAATTTCTAGACTTTCTGAGCAGGGTGGTACAGCTCTAAGTGACATGACAGTGCTGCACACGTGGCCACAGCGGAGTATGTACTTCCCATCTGTGCCAGTGTGTTTAATGCTATTTTTCCCTTTTAAGGCTGCTCAGATGTAGTGGATGGCACAGGAGAGACTTAGGAGTGTGGCTGGGTGCAGTGGGAACCCTTTCCAGGGCAGCTGACCAAGCAAAAAGGATAAACTCTGCAGGGGAGGATGTACACAAAGCCACATCATGCTGTCTCAGGAAGGAAATATTGCTGAATGAACAGAAGAGGAGGTGGAAATACTAGCTGAGAGCTAACATGGGCTAAGGATATTGAAATCACCTTGTCCGTCCCCAAGGAGAGAGCTCCTCCCATAGGAAGGAGTGGTGCTTGCTCATGTAAATAGCTACAGCGCTAGAAGCCAAGCTACAAGCAGGTAGCTGCATGGGGGATTCATGCAGAAAGGGAGGAGTTTGGCTAAAGGGCCCAACCCCGATTGACCCTCAGTGGCCATTACCTGAAAAAACTCAGTGGGTAGTTGGCAGGGGACATCTTTGGGTGATTATCTGACTTCCAATGCCGTGTTGCACTTACTGGCTGTGCTATTGATTGTAATCAGCTGCTCGTTCTGTATTTGGTTGCATCTATGTAGGCACACCTGGTGAAGAGCCTGCTACCTGGAATGCTTGGTAGCCCAAGTTCATCACTGCTGGACCCCAGCAGTGAGAGTAGGGGGTGTGATAGCACAGCCCTTCCAGTATGCCTTGGGCTGAGGAACACGGGCATCTGCGGTACAACTTGCAATCTCAGTCACCTGCAATATCTGGCACGGGTTAAGGAGGGGTCTGTGGCAAAAACCTACAAAATTTGAGTTCTCCAAATGACTGGGTGGTCCTGTAGCTCCCTAGCTAGCCTCTGTTCAGGTGAAACAATGATCTAACTTAGTATGATGTGATTGATGTAAACCATTTCATAAGGACCAAGATGATCAGGCTCTGATGGCGACTGGTTAATTGTGCCTTATTAACTTTTACTGTTCATTTTGTATTCACTGGGTGGATACACCTGTGAAGGTTTAAGCTATTTGTAAACTAATGATGTACATGATCTAAGTGGAAGTACTACGTCTTCACCTTGGCCAGGAGCCGAGTTGGGTATGAATTAGCTGAGTGTGGTGAGCCATGGCAAACAGGACAGTGCAGACAAGAACTGAGTATTTCCATTGCGCAGGCTGTGGATCAACAGCTGACAGAAAAGCACACGAGACTGCTGGAAGGACATGCAAGAATCTTATCATGGACTGATCTGATTAGTGGCCTGTCCTGGCATCTGGCCATAACGAGCAGTAGACTGGTGCGGGGGGAGATGTGGTGACGTGAATGTCTGGCAGTGTAGGGCCAGAGTGTCCGAGGCACAACCATGACGCATGGGAGAGCTTGATGCTCACGCTTAGCCGTGCCCTCTCCCTGGAGTAGTAACTGGGGACAGTCAGTTGTGTGTGAGAGAAACATAATAGTTGGACTGGATGATCTTCAAGGTCTTTTCCAACCTAGACGATTCTGTGATTTTCCTAACACTGCCTATTCCTGGCTCAGTCTCCTTAACAAACTGAACATAGCAGTGTCCTGTCCTTTCCCCGCTGTAATCTCAATTTCCTAAATTAATACTGATACTAATCAAAAATAAAAGGCTGGAAAATTAAAAAATGGAATTAATTTGTAAATATGGTGCTACCCTCAGTAATCTTCTAAAAAGGATAGTGGGTCAGACACCTCAGATTCATCTGCTAACTCATTTTTTGAGAACTTAAGACCTGCAGGGACCTGTATCGCTACAAACCACTTCAAATTATGTGCATTAATCTTCCATTGTAGTTAGTCTTTCTTCAATGTCCTTGTTGGGCAGAAGTTTTCTTTTTGTATTTTTTTTTTCATGACCCCTCATCAAGTCTGTTTACAGTTAGAAAGATGAGTTTTCTAACAAAATGCCCTCTGAATTAAGTTTCTGTTACAGACATCTAATCCATGACCTGGGAACACGGAAGTGCTGAAATCCCTGGTGTAAATGCCTTTTATGTATTAGTTGACACCTGCACTATTAACACTTTAAAATAAGGTTCCTCTTTGGGTATTTACACAGGAAAAAATTATTCTCGCTTTTTGTAACATCTTACATTAGCTTTAAAATGGTTCAGCATACACTGTATGCCAGATTGGGCAGCTCCAGGTTGTGCTGTGTGTCTCTTTGGCTGGATGCAGTCAGCTGGGAAGAGCTGCAGGGCCGAGCCTGACTTGGGCGCTGCTCCTCCTGCTGCCCCTCCACATGGCAGCTCTGCTCCTGGCGCGTGGGAAGAGGCTCCTAACATGGAGAAACAGTAGCCAGAAAGCAATGGAAGAAGAGAGAGGACTTGTCTGTGGTGGATGAGGACAGAAATCAGCACCTGAGAGTCCTGGTGAAGAGCAGGGTGACAGTGACTTGAGGCTTTGAGGGTAGATGAGAAGCAGAGTGGGGAGGGGGCTGGGTTTGAAGGAGATGTGTCTGACAAGTATGGTAGGGAGATCCTTAATAAATACACTGGG